CACCACTAAAGTTATTACAAAGAGAACACTCCTAAACTTTCCTTTTGCCAGATATGAATAAATCTCTTCAACTGTTTATTACATAGAAAAGATTTTTATTTCTTTTGGAATTTTATTTTGATTAAAATAAGCAATCCATCTGCTGAGGCTTAGATATCATTATAAAGAGATTTAAGTGATTTAATGATAAACTGATTATTGTAATTATAAATTACAATAGTAACAATTCCTCCAAATTCTACCCTTTCTCAAAAGTGTGAATTTAGAAAGAATTTAGTAAGCATTAGTCTACTCTAACTTTCTTGATGGAGGGAAATCTTACAAATCCCAACATGTATAATACAACCTAGAATGAAAAAGCAGTAATAGGGGCCAGCCCTATGGCTGAGTGGTCAAGGTCGCACGGTTCGGTGGCCCAGGGTTTCGCAGGTTTGGATCCTGGGCACAGACATGGTACCGTTCATCAAGCCATGGAGAGACAGCATCCCACATAGCACAACCAGAAGGACTTACAACAAGAATGTACAACTATGTACTGGGGGGCTTTGGGGAGAAGAAGAAAATAAAAATAAATAAAGATTGGCAACAGATGGCAGCTCAGTGCCTATCTTTAGGAAAAAACAATAATAATGATACCTTGCATTTTCAAAGAGCTCTCACGCCCTTATGAAAGTTAGGTGTCACCTGTGAGACAAATAGGAGAGGGTATTATTTTCCTAATTTCACAAATGAGGAAGCTGTGTGGCAGAGCACTGAACTCCGAAAACTTGATCTCTAGCCTAGCTATGAGCCTTAGTTTCTAGATCTAAAACCCAAGGTTGCTAAAATAAATGGTATCTATATGAAAATCCCTTCTGATTCTGTGGTTCCTTGATTTAGTGAATTGGTGACAATACCCGATCTAGAGGCTGGATCTCCTAGTTATCAGCCTTGGAATCTTCCAGAGGAGAGAGATACTACGATTTATTAAGTAGGTACTGATGAGGATTTTTAGGCTGGTTACTTTTAAAACTACAGATGAGATTCAGGCTCCAAGGAGTGGAATTTGTTTGCCCCTTTGTTGGGAAATATTTACATTTCTAAGGGAAACCTCTATCAGTGAAGATGCCTCCCTCTCTGTGCCAGGAAGAAGGGGGGATGGTCTTATCTCTAGAAGCTCTTAATCAATGCCAGAGGGAAGAACTTAAGTTGGTTACTGTCTGGCATCTCATGTAACTGACCCCCCCCCACACACACACACAAATCCTCCTTTGTCTTTAGCTGAGGATAAAATTCAAGCGGTGACTTCTGCCATTTACTCAATCCGGTTTGATTCTTATCTGAAAGTTGTGGGACCGCCAAATGGCCAGACCCTACGGGCACTGATACCCCTTTAACTTTTTTACATATTCTTTGTCTTGTAAAGAGATAACTCACATACCTATGCCTTAAATTTAGCCTTACTCTTCAGCCAAATTTGCAGCAGCAGCAGAAACTCTGACTGCCCATGGGTCCTGTCCCCATGCTATTCTACTCTCTAAATAAAAGAGCACTACTGCCAGATCTTAAGAGTCAAAGAAATCTTTCTTTCGACTCGTCGGCTCACCGACCCCGCATCAGGTACCAAGCCTTTCATATTTATTATTTCACAACAACTGTTTAAGTGTTATAACTGATAAAAAATTCCAATCAGGTTTGTCGGATTCCCAGTGCCATGCGCTTTTCTTTACCATACCTGCCTTGTGTGGGGACCTGGAATTGGCCACCGCAAGATATGTCTCTTTGGCATCAGGATTATTTGAGGCTGATTGCTTTTGATAAACTGGGACAGGGAAGGAGGCTCTGAGGAATGGAACTTGCCCTTCCTTAGGACACATTTACATTTGTTAGGTAAATCTCTATCTGTAAAAGGTGTCTCTCTGTACCAGGAAGAAAGGGAATGACCTTCTCTCTAGAAACTCTTAGTCAATACCAAGGGCAAGGACTTAAATCTGCATTTTATTGTGCTAGTCTGGTAACCTCCTGTAACTGACTTCCCTCCCCCTCCCAAGGTTGGCATTTCTTTAAGGATTAAGCATCTTTCTTTAGGCTAGGAACTGATTGCTGCTCTCACCTGTGACCGCCCAGCTCCAGACAATTGACTTGCCTCCGGCTACGCCCTCTGAGACAGCAGACCACTACCTGCTGTGTCCATCAAGCACTGTGCTGACAGGGCAATCTTGTGACTATTGTGGGAGGGACATTTCAATCACATGTGAAACACCCCTGTTTGGGGGTATATAACCACTCTGTGTACCCCACTTCTTCGGTGCCCTTTCTTCCTTCGGGAAGAAAGGCCCCGGGCCATGGTTCCTCATAAGGCTTTGTTTAATTTTCTCTTGCTATTCTGTCTCATGTGAATTTAATTCGTTCTCCAGCCAGATGAACCCCCACTTGGGGAGAGGAAATGTCCTCCTCCCCTACACTTGCCTTATAGATCACTACAAGGCCTCCCAGTTACACTTAGGCTGAATATTATTGTCATTAAAATAGTGCTCCTTGGGGCCGCCCTGTGGCCCCACTTCGGCAGCCCAGGATTTCGCTGGTTCCAATCGTGGGCACAGACATGGCACCACTCATCAAGCCACGCTGAGGCAGCATCCCACATGCCACAACTAGAAGGACCCACAACTAAAAATATACAACTATGTACTGGGGGGCTTTGGGGAGAAAAAGAAAAAAAACTAAAATCTTTAAAAAAGAATAAAATAGGGGCCAGCCCAGTGGCGCAGTGGTTAAGTTCACACGTTCAGCTTCTGGGCGGCCCAGGGTTCGCGGGTTCGGATCCCGGGTGTGGACATGGCACCACTTGGCACGCCATGCTGTGGTAGGCGTCCCACATATAATATAGAGGAAGATGGGCACGGATGTTAGCTCAGGGCCAGTCTTCCTCAGCAAAAAGAGGAGGACTGGCAGTAGTTAGCTCAGGGCTAATCTTCCTCAAAAAAAAAAAAAAAGCACACATTGGAGTCTCAATAAAAAAAGGAAAATCTTAAAAATAAAAGAATGAAATAAAATAGTGCTCCTTGAATTTTCATGGGAAGACAAATCACCTGGAGACCTTGCTAAACACAGATTGATTCATTCCATCTGGGGTGAGGGCCAAGATTCTGCATTTCTAACAAGCTCCCAGGTGATCCGTATAAACATTTACTGAGTGTCTGTTATCTATCTATCTTGGCTAGGTCTTTGGAATACATGATGCCCTCAACTTCCTTCTTTCCAGTGGGGAAACAGACAGGGTATTGAAATGTGATAAAAACAAAGTGTTGGGGGACAATGAGGAGTTAGCAAAGAGAAGAAAGGGCGGGGAGGGAATTCTACACAGAGGAAGCAGCACATGCAAAGCTACCCAGCGTATTTAGAGCGCTGTGATTTGTTCCTTCTGGCTGGAACTTAGAATAGGAGGAGAAACGGCAAGAGATGAACTTCCTATTTATTGAGTGTCCTTTATTTGCCAGACTCTTTTCAAATAATAGAATGTAGTGGTAAACAAGACAGACAAGATGTCTGCTTTAATGGTGTTCACATTTAAGTAGATAGCCAGGATAGGATAGGATAAAATAGAATAAAGTAAGATAGTGATAAATGATAGGGGAAAAAACCCATGGAAACATCATAGAGAACGGCTGGTAGGGGGGCTGCTGTTGGCTGTTTGAAGGGTAGGAAGGGAAGGCATGTTTGAGGAGCTGACTTTGTGTTGAGACGTGGATGCAGAGAAGGAGCCGGCCCTGTGAAGATCTGGAGTTAGCTGACGGAAGCAGGTACAAGCCCTAAGGCAAACACTTGCTTGGTGTGTTCTAGGAACAGATAGGAGTGTGGCTGCAAATGTGACCAAGTCCTACTTGTCTGCTTCTTTACCTCCCAGATTCAATCAATCACCAAGCAGTTTTGATTCTACCCCCTAAAAACCCTCACATCCATCTCCTTGATTCCGTCTCTACTGCTACCATCTCCCCCCTAAATTATCGCAAAAGTCTGCCTGCCTCCAGGCAGCCTCCTCTGATCCATTCCCCACACAATAGACAGAGAGAGCTTAGAAAATGGAAATCTGATTATTCTTCTCCCTGCCTGAGAACCTTCAGTGGCCCCCATTCCCATCAGAATAAAGCCTAAACTCTTTATCTTTATTACGGTTTATAAGGGCTCTGGGGATATGTGCCTGCATACCTCCCTCACCACGTGCTTCTCTATACTCTGTAAGTCAATCTTGTAGGGGAGGAGGACATTTCCTCTCCCCAAATAGGGGTTCATCTGGCTGGAGAACGAATTAAATTCACATGAGACAGAATAGCAAGAGAAAATTAAACAAAGCTTTATGAGGAACCATGGCCTGGGGCCTTTCTTCCCGAAGGAAGAAAGGACACCGAAGAAGTGGGGTACACAGAGTGGTTATATACCCCCAAACAGGGGTGTTTCACATGTGATTGAAATGTCCCTCCCACAATAGTCACAAGATTGCCCCATCAGCACAGCGCTTGATGGACACAGCAGGTAGTGGTCTGCTGTCTCAGAGGGCGTAGCCGGAGGCAAGTCAATTGTCTGGAGCTGGGCGGTCACAGGTGAGCTCAGCAATCAGTTCCTAGCCTAAGGAAAGATGCTTAATCCTTAAGGAATGCCAATGTTGGGAGGGGGAGGGAAGTCAGTTACAGGACGTTACCAGAGAAGCACAATAAAATGCAGATTTAAGTCCTTGCCTTTGGTATTGATTAAGAGTTTTTAGAGAGAAGGTCATCTCCTTTCTTCTTCCTGGTACAGAGAGGGAGGCAGCTTTTACAGATAGAGATTTACCTTACAAATGTAAATGTGTCCTAACAAAGGGCAAGTTCCATTCCTCAGAGCCTCCTTGCCTGTCCCAGTTTATCAAAAGCAATCAGCCTCAAATAATCCTGATACCAAGGAGACATATCTTGGGGTGGCCAATTCCAGGTCCCCACAATCTCATAGTTTCTAAAACACGCCACTGTTTCTCTTTCTTCCAGGTCTTCATCTGGCATTCCCTCTGCTCCCTCTACACCTGTACTTTTCTCCTGGCTGAGTCCTCATTCATCACCTCCTCTGTGGAACCCTCCCCAGCCACCTCCCTGCTCCTCCTTCGAGCTCCTGGAGCATTCTGAATTTCCCTTATCAAAGAATTTATTGTGTTAAATTGTAATTATTTGTTTAATTATCTGTCTCTCCCTTTAGACTAGGGTAAGACCCTTACTGCTTTACTCTTTTTTATATCTCCACAGCCTAGTGTGGGGTCTAACATTGGAGTAGGTACTCAAAAATTTGTGGAAGAATAAGTGTATGAATTAATGAAAGCTGAGACAGGCAGTTAGATCATAGCTTTTTATGTCATTGTATAAAGATTGAACACTATCTTGGTGGCAGCAAGGAGCCACTGAGGAGCTTTAAGCAAAATGATACAGTTATATTTACATTTATGAAAGACCATTCTTTTTTTTTTTTTTTTTGAGGAAGACTGGCCCTGAGCTAACATCCATGCCCGTCTTCCTCTACTTAAATGTGGGATGCCTACCACAGCATGGCTTGACAAGCAGTGTGTAGGTCCACACCCAGGATCCAAACCTGCGAACCCCAAGCCACCAAAACAGAACGTGTGCGCTTAACTGCTGCGCCCCCAGGCCAGCCCGTGAAAGACCATTCTAATAGCAACAAGACACGTGAATTTGAGGCAAACAAAATTGGCAGCAGTGAATGTGGAGGTAGGAGGCTGGTTGTTTCCATTATTCAAAGGAGGAATGATGAAAGCCTGAATCTGCAGAAAACAGTTTAGAGGGGTAACAAGAAGGACAAACTTAGGACTTGATGACTGGGTGAGGAGGGAGGGAGAAAAAGGGCTGGAGAATGGCTCCTACATTTCTAGGCTGGCTAACTTCATGGGTAGAACTGTCATTACCTGAAATTGGAAATACAGGAGAAGTAGGAATTATGGAGGCAGATAAATGCAGGTTTAGACATATTGAGTTCCAGGTGCCTGCCGTATATACAAGTGGAGATATTTTAGTAGGCAATTGGATCTGGACTCAGGAAAGAGATCTGGGTAGCAATACAGATTTAGAAGTCATCAGCATATAGATGATAGTTGAAGTCGTGTAAGTAGAAGATATCACCCAGGGAAAATGCGTCAAAATGAAGCAGCATAAACTGAAACCATGAGTGTATCAGCTTCCAGTGAGTTCTGTGAGTCCTAACAAATTATCAAACTAAGGGTGGTCTTGGGGACTCCTGAATCGGCAACTGGTGTCAGAAGTAAGGATAATCTTATTGACGGTACTCCCTCTAACTTCCGAGTTCATGAAAAGGCATGCACAAGAATATTCATAGCAGCACTATTCCTACCTGCCAAATTCTTCATACAACCAAAACATCCATCAACGTGAATGGATAAAAATGTTTTAGTATATTTATAAAGTAGAATACTGTATAAATGAAAATGGATCAGGAGGCCGGCCAGGTGGCGCAGCAGTTAAGTTCACACGTTCCGCTTCTCGGGGGCCCAGAGTTCGCCAGTTCGGATCCCGATGTGGACATGGCACTGCTTGGCACACCATGCTGTGGTAGGCGTCCCACATATAAAGTAGAGGAAGACGGGCACGATGTTAGCTCAGGGCCAGTCTTCCTCAGCAAAAATGAGGAGGACTGGCAATTGTTAGCTCAGGGCTAATCTTCCTCAAAAAAAAAAAAAAAAAAAGGATCGGGGCTGGTCTGATGGCTGAGCTGTTAAGTTCTCGTGCTCCGCTTCAGTGGCCAGGGGTTTCGCCACTTCAGATCTGGGCGCGGACATGGCCCCGCTCATCAGGCCACATTGAGGTGGCCGTCCCACATGCCACAACTAGAAGGACCCACAACCAAAATATACAAGTACGTACTGGGGGGATTTGGAGAAAGAAAGTGGAATAAAATAAATAAGTAAAATAAAATTCTTAAAAAAAAAAAAGAAAGTAGATCAACCTCAGGGCTGGCCCCTTGGCCGAGTGATTAAGTTCATGTGCTCCACTTCAGTGGCCCAAGGTTTCAAGGATTTGGATCCTGAGTGCGGACACGCGTGGCTCATCAAGCCTTGCCGAGGCGGTGTCCCACATAGCACAACCAGATAGACCTACAACTAGAATACACAACTATGTACTGGTGGGCTTTGGGGAGATGAAGAAGAAAAAAAAGAAGATTGGCAACAGATGTTAGCTCAGGTGCCAATCTTTAAAAAAAAAAAAATGGATCAATCTCGTAAATATTATTAGGCAAAATGACCCAAACACAAGAGTATGCATACCATACAGTTCTACTTATATAAAGGTAAAAAGCAGGCAAAACTAATCTGGGTGATAGAAACCATGTTAATGGTTATATTTGGGAAGGAGGGAGGAAGGGATGAGAGGAGGACATTTAGGTTGTTGGTAATGTTCTATTTATTGATCTGGGTGGGAGTTACATGGATAGGTTCACTTAGAGAATTTATCGAGCTGTGCACTTACAATTTGTCCTTTTTTTTCCTATGTTATACTTCAGTGCAAAAGTTTTCATTAAGGAAAGCTTATGCGTGGGGCCAGCCCTGTGGCCTAGTGGTTAAGTTCAGCACATTCCACTTCAGTAGCCAAGGTCCAGTTACTGGGCACGGACCTACACTATTTGTCAGCAGTCATGCTAAGGTGGAGACCCACATACAAAATAGAGGAAGACTGGCACAGATGTTAGCTCAGGGCAAATCTTCCTCAAAAAAAAAAAAAAAAGCTTCAGTGTGAAGGAGAAGAGCTCAGGCATTAGGTAATTGGAACTAAAGGAACATTTAAGATGGGAGACACAACTAGAAGGACCCACAATGAAGAATATACAACTGTATACCGGGGGGCTTTGGGGAGAAAAAGGAAAAAAATAAAATCTTTAAAAAAAAAAAAAAGATGGGAGAAAACTGAATATTTTGTATAAGGGGAAAGAGCCAGCTACAAAGGAAAGTTGAAGAAACCAAAAAGAGAAGCTAGAGAAAGATTGAAGAGATTTGAGAGAGGATAAACTCAAAAGTTCCTGTGGAGCCTTTTCTATTTCTTAAGGCAAGCTGTGGGAATTTGTTAGAAATACACATTTGAGGGATTCCCGCCAGAGATTTTGATTCAGTATATCAGGAATGGAACCCAGAAATATGCACTTTCAACCGTTCTTCCAAGTATCTGTGATGCAGGTCATCTTGGACTCAACCTTGAGACACATTGCCCTGATGCAGTGATAGATGCAGAAAGGCACAGTGTTGGGGGTCAGAGGATTTTTGTCACAGTTCTCGATTTGCCATTTTACCTTCCATCAGGAGAGTTTGTGTTTTTTTTTTTTTTTTTGGTTTGCTTTGTTTTAGTGCCCATATGTCATATCCCACGCAAAGCTCTGAGCAAGGTTATTTCATTTCTCCAAGCTTCAGATGCCTCCTCTGTGATAACATTATCTACTGCAGAGTAACTAAGAATTGAATTAAATTATGTGGGAGGAGGAATTCCTCTTCTGGCCAAGATGTAGTAACAGGGACTGGATTTACCACCCCACCCCCCCATATGAGACAACTACCAAAACAGACAACATACGTGAAACAATGTGTTTTCAGATATTGGACATCAGGTGATACAGGACAGTGATCCTGGAGAGGGGAAAACAAGTAAGATGAGCCACTCTTACTCCATCTCACTGTGTGGAGGCTGCAGCACAGAGAGTGGAAACCCAGCTGGAACGGAGCAGTCTCCCTGAGTTTAGGAGATGGAGTCGGGAGTCCTGGGAGGCAAAGGTGGCTAGAGTTCACCTGAGAGGAAAGAGTGTAGAGAGGGGTGGAGGCTCCAAGGTTCCACAGGGAGACCTCCTCACATGTGTGGCTGAGTACACATCAGAGCTCAAATATGGGGAAACTACCCACCGTTTGAGGAAGAGTCACCCAAAAGGACTTGAGGAAATAATCCTTGAACCTCATAAAACTAGGAAAACTTTGTGTTCCCACCAGTCAGAGTAGAAAAAACTTGATAATTAAAGGACGTGGGGTAGAATAATGCCTGGAAAGATGATGCCTCAGTAGTGGGGAAAACTAGCCGCTACTAAAGGGTGCTCTGGTGCTACCTAACAAAGTTTAAAAGCCACCCTCAGGGCCGGCCTGGTGGCGCAGCAGTTAAATGCACACGTTCTGCTTCGGTGGCCCAGGGTTCACGGGTTCAGATCCCGGATGCAGACGTGGCACTGCTTGTCAAGCCATGCTGTGGTAGGCATCCCACATATAAAGTAGAGAAAGATGGGCATGAATGTTAGCTCAGGGCCAGTCTTCCTCAGCAAAAAGAGAGGAGGATTGGCAGCAGATGTTAGGGCTAATCTTCCTCAAAAAAAAAAAAAAAAAAAGCCATCCTCATCCTTAGAAATACCAAAGTGGTTCAAGTAAGTTAACTATATCCCAGAAAAAAAGCTCAAGAGTATATATATATGAATACAAAAATATCCAACTCCCAAAAGGCAGTCATTCATAATGTCTCACATTAAAAAAAAATGAGCAGGCATGCAAAGATGCAGGAAAATATTATGCATAATGAGGAGAATAGCCATCAATAGGAGTAGATCCATGATTGAAACAAATGATAGAATAAGTAAAGACATGAAAAGAGTTATTGTAACTATGTTACGTATGTCCAAGAAGACAGAGAAAAAATTAAGTTGACACATGAAGATACAAAAAGGGTCCAAGTCAAACTTTTAGAGATTTAAACTATAATGGCTGAGATGAAAAATACATTTTGTGGAATTTAAACAGATTAGGAACTACAAAAGAAAAGGTGAGTAAATTTGAAGACACAACAATAGAAAATATCCAGGGGGCCAGCCCAGTGGCATAGAGGTTAAGTTCGCACATTCCACTTTGGTGGCCCAGGGTTTGCCACTTCGGATCCCTGGTGCGGACATGGCACTGCTTGTCAAGCCATGCTGTGGCAGGCGTCCCACATATAAAGTAGAGGGAGATGGGCACAGATGTTAGCTCAGGGTTAGTCTTCCTCAGCAAAAAAAGAGCAGGATTGGTGGGAGACGTTAGCTCAGGGCTAATCTTCCTCAAAAAAATGAATAGAAAATATCCAAAATGAAACAGAGAGAAAAAGAGAATCAGAAGGCTGTGGGACATGTTCAAGGGACCTACTATAC